CTGGCTTTGGGAGACCATTTGAATAGTTGTCCTAAAGTTATAGGGAATTCAAGTGATACCACTTTTTCTAAAATGTCCAATTCATTTGTTAATTCAGAAATCAGAATATATATTATGGATCCCTTTTTATATTGTTCAATTTCCTCAGGCACATCAACATAAGTACTCTTTTGAGCCCATGATGGCATTTCATGCTCATCTTCTATTCGTCTCCTTTTTCCAAGGTTTCTCACATCAAACAGTGATTCACCCTCTTTTAATTCTACCCTTAGGTATTCGTCACCCCCATCCTTCTCTGTTTCCGTGACTTCGAGATATCGTACATTCATGCCTCTGACCTCAGGATTGTCAGGTTGATTATTCCTTACTGCCCTTGTTTGATCATTGGGTTGAGGTTGCATTATTCTGTTGGGACAATTCCACGCAATGTGCCCTTCCTGGTTGCATTCATAACATCTACGGGGCCTGTTTGGCTGATTTCGACTATTGGGGTTCTGATTTTGCATCGTTTGATTACGACGCATGATAGGCTCCTTATTCTCTCTAAGATCCAAGATGGCCTTTGTCAATTCTTTGATACTAGATTCCATTTTGTCCATTTGATCATCTGGATCTTGACTTTGACCAACATGACAAATTTTTAAAGCTCCAAAAGCTGAGGTAAGGTCATCCACATCCAATTTGTCACATTTTGCTCTTCATTCTTGGATCAGGTAGGGCCTTTTACTCCATACTCATTGTCTTTGCTATACTTTTCCACCTTTATCGCCCATTTTTTTGCATCATCATATGTTTCAGGACACTGCATTTCAACCCTTTCTTTAAAAGGTTCCCGTAACCCTTGTACATACCATTGTCTTTTTTCAAGACCCCTTATGTGACTCTTCACAGCTTCTGCACACGCATCGAACCGGTTGGTATATGCCTTGATCGTATCATTCGGCTTTTGCTTCACACTCTTCAACCGTTCTAACTTCTCTTCAACGTCGTAAGAGGCTTGAGCACCAGAAATGACAGCGGCTTTCAGGTCGGCCCAAGTACTATTGGCTTTTATTTGCTCACGGATCCAGGGCTTTAGGTCGTCAGCGACATGAAGTCTCATTACCTGCCGCATTTTATCTTCATCCCAATCCTTTGATGCACCATAAGCTTCGTAGTCTTCTAGGAATTCTTCAACGTCCTCATCGTCATGGCCATGGTATATGGGTTTGGTCGAATCAGAAATACCCATTTCGTTGTTGGACAGCTAAGTATTGCCTTTTTGATCTCGGTTTATTGGTTCCAGTTGTTTAAATATATGTCAGGTCCCTGAAAAAAAATCTTGCTATTTCCTTTATTAATATCGTTTCTCTTTTCGTATTCTTATATGTTATCTTTGGCGAAGCACAAAATCCAATTCAAGTGGCACCTTTGTCTGCCCAGGTCCTTCCTTGTCGTGCGGGTTCACAATGAAGGGGACTTCACTGTTAATCTAACTCAAACGGTGGCACTTTTCCAACCAACGATCACCTCAAC